ATTACAATTGTTATTGTTAAATCAAAAGGGTTAAAGTAAATACCCCCCTCCCCATTCTCCTCAATCTTCGAATCTCCACAATCCTCAAATCCCCAATTCCCAAAAGGCCGGTAACGCACTTGAAACGTCTTGGTGTTTCAGATGTCCATGGGCGGCGCTGATTGCTTACCATCAGGTGATCCGTCTGCTCGTTTACCGGGTTATGCCATAAAAAAAAGATTGAGATGCTGATTGAGATTATGGTCTAGAATTACACATAGGCTACTTTTAACCCCGGCATACAGGCAAAGCTGCTGGCTTAAACTAGCTTCGTGTAAGCTGTTAAAGAAATAATAAAATAATGAACAATGTCGTTTCTTCTAAATCAACAGTTACTCTATGACAATATTATGTGACCACTTGCAGTGCCGGATCTACCTAATTAAGTGCCTGCAGTTAATGTCTCCGGGATTTATAGAGCTGCTAGGAGGCTGAACAACGACCTTTATCGTGGGAAGTATGTATATTTATATTTGTTCTAAATTAGGGACTTTGTTTGTCCAATTCAAGATGGTTGCGTAATTAATTAAAGGAAACATTGTGTTTGGTGTTTTTCCATGTTATAGAAGTAAAAACATGTTAATTTCTAGCTGCAATGGCTGTACTGTTGGAATCATTACAGTAACAAATAACTATGTATATAAAAGGAAAAAAAGAGAAACACCAGAGGCGAGAGGCATTACTAGACAATCAGGAAAGAATCGGCTCGTTGTAGTGGAGGATCTTAAATGTATTGTATGTGTAAAATTTACTTTGTTATCTTACGGTTGTTCATTTTGACACAAATTATTTGCTCGTTTTATTCGTTATATTGTATACTAAATACTGTAACTCTCAAAAGTTAACTGAGATACTTACAAAAAAAAATAAAAAAAAAAGCTCCTACAAAAAACAAACAAAAAAAGTTTAGTTTTTTTTTCATTGAAGTTTTAATAATGATTTTATATTTGACGGTTAGGCCGTCTATGTCTACATTCAACCTCAATGACTACCCTAATATCAAATATAAATAACTGATTATAATATGTTTACAACTGATTTATAGTAATATGTTATAACTGACTGATTTATAATATGTTTACAAACTATTTAAATTTGAAGTTAATGACTTCTCCATTTCATTCAACTTTCGTTCCACTATAATGTAATTGACTGTTAATAAGGTCAATTTTGCAATTTAAATAAATACGACGGTACGCGTGATATACTTCAAAAATCGAAAATGAACCTTTATAGTCGTTGTGTCTTTTTCGTACAAATTAGTGTAAATTAATTTAAATCTTATTAGGAAATTCTTTTATTGAAAAATGTCTATACCTATTATTTTTTATGTAGAAGCAATGACCTGTTTTCTATTATTGAATTTATTACTCGCCCATTAAATTATGACCGCATAGTATTAGTTTTTTTTTATTACGGCTCTTAATGCCACTACATAATGTAACACCCACTTTTCACTATTTGTGTTATGAGTCCCATGTAATAGGGATTGAGCCTATTGCCATATACCGGGCACAATTCCAGACTCCGTGCTACTACTGAGAATTTTGAAAAACCCAGTAATTCTTTGCCCGACCCGGGAATCAAACCCGAGACCCTTTTCCAAGTAGTCGCAATTGCCACCACTTAGCCAACGAAACAGTCCATGATACCTAAACAAATCAAGACTAATTTTATTAAATCCCTTGTTACTTCCTTTTTAAAATTTTACTAAGTTTTTTTATCAATTTGTTGAGTAAAAATATTCAGAACCTAACCAATCTACTGAAACGACAACCTCGTTTGTTTAATACGCAGTGGTCTACCACTTCATAACACGCTCCTACAGTCACGTGTAGCGGCGGCAGTTAAACGCCAGTAAAAGAGCATTGGATACGACTCTACAACTCTGTGGTAGAGATCTGATCTCTACCTAATACAATATCTTTGTCTATGTTTCTGCTTCCCTCAGGAAGCGTTGCTTATGGACTACTTAAATTTGAACGTTAGGATGATAGGTATTAATTAGGTTGAATATTATTGTCTATGTCATTTACTGCCGATTTGTCCAATCCCAGATTCCTATATCTGAGGAATAATTTTAATACTTATTCCACATAAATTAATGTTAAGCCTCAATTTATACTACAGTAAAGAATTATCCGTTGATTGAAAAATCAGCTCTTATAAAATATAGTTCCAGTATCCCAAGTACATAAGTTGAATTTAAATACGCGATATTGCCGAAAAAAAAATACAAACATTAAAAGCACTTTGTGATCCAATATCCACTTTTAAAAAAAAACTTTAAGTTCTACACATCAACAAAAAAAAATAAACTTTTTGAATGTTAGCATTCATTTGCTTTAAAACAATCACCAATCATTTGCCAAAATCAAGATAACATTCCACCACGCCACCTTTGTTAGAACATTTTTGTGAACAGCGACATCTATACAAACTCTAACGAACCACGAATGATGGACTAAAGAAAACATGAGTTATTTCATGAAAACTAGCGACCGATTCTGTCGGGAGGGCGTGACGGACTGTTATGCTAGGTTGAAAGAACTCAGTTTGATTTGCATACTGACCTGATAATATTAATGGTTAGACATCTTGTAGCAAGTAGGTATGTTACACGATAAAAATCCACATGTTGTCTTAATCTCAACCTGCATATCAAGGGTGGAAATAATAAAGAAGCTCTCCTCTGTGGAGAAGGTTTATAGTCAGTGGATTATCATCTGCTGTTGATGATGATAACGACGGTGAAATATTAAAAAACATTGCGATAATTATGGCGATATAAAAATAGCAGAAAAAAAAGACATTCTACACATTATTGCTCTGGTTTAAATATTTATACAATATTTCTATATCATTTACCGTGTTTCTGTAAAATAAATACATTAATATTATTATTATTCTTACATATATAACCTCACATCTGTCTCCCATAGGTAGGGGTAGGCAGAGACTACGGAAATGGCTTAGAAAAGTTGATAACATGACTGAGAAGTATGACATCACTCTTGCTATGAACTAATGAAGTCAGTAGAGATGGTAATAAAGTAATACAATACAATATTTGCGTTTTATCTTCAGTGCGTTATTGCATTTAGCTCAATATTAGTTGTTTTGTTCCTGTATACCTTTTTTACACCTTTGTATAGCAGTGGACATATTCTAGTCGAAGATGATAATGATAAGACTTATGACAGATTTGTCATAATATTCTTAGTCTAAAGATTGCATTTTAAAAAGTTTATTAAGTATAGAGAATTGGTACTTGGTCTCTTTTAAATGTATAGTTACTTAGTTTTACTATACCAAACAGAGAACATGAAAAAGGGTTTGTTTGTCGAGATCGAAACGTTATGGCGTTCGGCCTTCAGATTAGTTGGTTCGTTATCAGGTCATCTCCATCGATTCTTTCATTAGTGCCAAACTCAGAATTGATTATATTTACATTTTAAATTAATTCTGAGTTTTTGCTCCATACACTTTGGGCATTGTCCTTTCTATGTACTTATTTCCTTAAGTACAGGATATTATTATTATCTTTACAAGTGTCACTTAACTGAGTTACTTAGGTGGCCAGTAGAATACCAGCGCAAGGCCCTGTCTTGCAGCTAGTTGAGTACAGAGCCAGTAGAATAACGTCTTGCACATGCTGAACTGGTCCCATTTCACCGCAGACAGATTATAATCTGTATATGTCACTTATCTTTAGCATGTGAATTATTCTTTTTTCTTTATTTCTTTCTTTCAAAAAGCAGAAGATAAAATATAAAAACTTATTTGACGTTTAAATTCAGTTAAAAGGTACTTGACTTCAGTTTTTTAATAATGTTATTCTTAATTCGATTGGTCGGTCAGTCACATTGTGTACGTACATTTATTTAAATCATATGCAACAGCCGATTTTAAACTGAATAATTATGACTAACTGAATTAAAAATGTTTTCCTATTGTGTAGGGATCCGTAAGTCGATGATGCACAATATTTTTAACTTATACTTTCTTTTTATGAAGTAGACTAAACTATGTAACTAGAAAATTGTATTGTGAACCTGATTGAAAAAGTGTAACCTTTGGAGATTCTTGCTCGTTCTTCTCCATAGGAATCTACATCTTGGAATGAACAAATAGATTCACTTTTAATGTTTTATTGACGTCCAAAAGTGCCTATCTGGTCAAAAATAATTGATTTTGACTTTGACTTTAATGTTTTTAATAAAACTGGCTTACGTATTATTAGATGATTAATATACATGATATTGTCATTGTGATGATATATGTATCATTTATTATGTATGGGTTAGGTATGATGCATATCTAAAACGTAATATTCGGCCTTCGACAATGATGTTATCAATCCCATGTAATGCGCATATTTCCGTATACCTATCAAGTACAATTTTAGACTCTGTAAAACTCTGTAACGCCATAGAATCAGACAATATCTTGCCCCATCAATACCAATTCTTTCATAGTAAAATTTACAACCACATATTATAGGGATCACAGGTACAAATTACATACATAACATCAGGCCTTTTATTCCCGAAGGTGTAGGCAGAGGTGCACATTATGCCACTGTACAATGTAACACCCACTTTTCACTATTTATGTTATGAGTCCCATATAATAGGGGGTGAGTCTATTGCCATACACCGGGCACAATCAATTCCAGACTCCGTGCTACTACGGAGAATATTTTAAAAACCCAGTAATACTTTGCCCAACCCGGGAATTGAACCCGAGACCCCTTGTCCGGGAGTCGCACTTGCGACCACTCGGCCAATGAGGCAGTCAGGCACATGTACAAATTACGGAATAAATAATTATTATACAGAACCACTACTCCGGAATATTGAATGCTATGACTACTTGTTCTATTTAAACCTAATTTAAAATCTATTGCAGGTATAAATAGATACTGTTGGAAAAATAATCAGTTAATCTGCCACAAGGCATCTTGTTGTTCAGTCACCAGTTTTAAAAAAACTCATACGTTCACCATGGCTCCTTCACCCCAAGAAACTATGGTGGAACAGCAGCCCAAGACCATCCCTCGCGGATTAACTGGTGAAGAGTTGGTGATTAGTGGCATGTCAGGATTATTCCCCATGTCTGACAGTGTTCTGGAGTTTAAGGAAAATTTGTATAATAAGGTAATTGTGATTGTGATACAGTTTTTGTTTATTTCGTAATTATTTTTTTAAGTAAAGTGTTTTTTCTTATATTTTTATCATCGTTAAAACAATACATATAATAAATAATAAACATATGAAATACGAGTGACATTGTGACATTTTCAGTTCTTTTTTCAAAAATAGTTTTTATGGATGTTTGACTGGAAAGACAGTGTGTTGTATCGTTATAATAAAATTATTATCTTTATTTAGGTGGATATGGTAACCAACGAAAACATTCGATGGGACATCGACCACCCTGAAATTCCCAAACATTTCGGCATGATAACCGGAGTAGACCGGTTCGATGCTCAGTTCTTCAAGGTGCACTACAAACAAGCACTTATTATGGATCCTATGAGTAGGAAACTCTTAGAGCATGCGTACCAAGCTATCTTTGACGCAGGTTAGTATTTCTTTAACAGTTATAGGAATAATAAAATTTAACAAGAATAAGTAATAATAAAAATAATAAGTGAATTACACATTTCAACTTATGAAAAAGTGTTCTTTATATCTAAACATCTAGTATAAATGTATACTTCGAACTGAGAATTTCGAAAATCGTAAAAAGAATAATCCTTTGTTTAGGTTAAAAATCAAAATCCTTGTTCAGTAACCATACTGTTGTCAGTATGGTTACTGAACAAGGATTTTGATTTACTTTTGTAAGTAGCAGTCTTAACTCAAAAGACCGTCAAATGAATGAAATGGTAAAAATCTCCTTCGTTTTGTCAGGTATCAACCCATTGGAGCTTCGAGGAAGGAAAATTGGTGTTTTCATCGGAGCTGCCTTCTCTGAGTCTGAAAAAATTGTCATTTATGAGTCTATTCAGCGGAATGGATTTGGTATTACTGGGTAAGTTTCATTTCTTATTCTCTTATCATTTGAAAATAGTGTTCAACTTCACGGTAGTATAAAACTAATGGTACCCTGTTATATATGTTCAATATATAATGCAATAATTTTTTATCGTGTGAATTAAACAAACTATTCAGAAACACACTCATATATTTTTCAAAACAAAAGAAGAATATAAATAGGTTACCCTATTGATAGTGGCCAGCTTGCCACAGATAACATAAACTTTTGTGTATAATCAAACCGAATATCAATAATACGATATCGAATTATAAAAAGGTACGTCTCACATATAAGAATGCTTAAATACAGGGTAAGAAGTGATATATCATTCTATTTTAATGTTTGCACGTGGCTATAGTCATAAAGGTCTATACATAAAAAATATTTTGACGTTCGACTGAAATCCAACCCTTAATAGAAAGATGATACGATTTATTTTAAACAAAATTAGCCTATCATGCTTCAGAAATATTACCCTTTTCATAGAAACCTTATACTGATTTAGAAGTATCTACGCCAATTTATTTTCGTTTTCGATAGTAGTAAATTAAATGTAACGAAGCATCGTCGGCTGCGGAACTAGGTGTAATTGTGTTACAAGTTAAATTGAATTTAGTAAATTATTTTCTGAACGAATTTTGGTCGTGTTTAGCTGCTGTTAACTGCGTTAGTGAGGCGTGGATGGACTTAACCGGTTAATATGGTAGGGTGAAGCATAATTTTAATACGTTAGTGCTTTTAACCTCGCAATTTGACCATCATCCCCTCACGACTCTCTTGTTTGTATGTTTGTAGTCTATTATTTATATCTAATCTATTGTTTTAGGGTAATCCAAAAATAGATGTAGGTATAGTAGGTTCTAAAAAAAAGGCAATAATGAATATTAAATGCATTGAAATTAATAATCAATCTAAAAACAAATAAAAGCATAATTTTCAGTTGTCCTATGAATAAACAAAGAATCAAATCAACAAAATGCTGAGTAAATATCGAAGATATAAAAACAATAACGACAATTCTACGTAAAACACTCAGTCCAAGTGCTGCATATTTCTTAATTAACCTGTCCTGCCTTCTTGAGTCAAGGGCAAAGGCTACTTCGACCCTATAATTTATACGTAGATGTGGGTAAAAAGATTTACGAGACCGCAGACCTATGTGTACTCTTTATCACAAGACTATTGTGGGGTATAAATATTCCCTTATCTGTTGCCAAGGTTAGCTAGAAACATGAATTTGCTAAGTGATGATTTTTGTTTTGTTATTTTTTGGGGATGAGTATAATGTTTTTCCTAGAATAGGTAATATCTGCCTTAATATTGTATAAAGAATAGGTCCTAAGCCTCCCGTCCAGCTGTGTTCTTTTAGAAGGGCATCAATAAACTGCCACTGCGTTGGCAAAGATGCATTGATTGCATGTACTAACTTCGTTGACAATGTTAAAGTTTTATATCATATAAAACGGCATTATCATAGGTAATGACCTAATTTTATTATCATCATTAGTTCCTACTAATGATAATCTAACGATACGATGATAAACTAACGATTACGTCACCAACTGAAACTGAAGCTCAAACTTAGCTCTCGACAATTAGGTATAAATTTTATGAAATCCACGAAAAATGAAAGTTTATGTGAAAAGGATGTAATAGATGAAGTTATAAACAGTTTTTATTAAAAAACAAAATTGCTATTAATTTTAGACTTGTTTGGCTTTCCATCTTCGGTTTATTATTAGCCTACAGCTCAATATTTTACAGTCACATGACATAATAGAATTAGAACGTAATGCTAAACGCATCGTTGGTCTGGATTTAATGTGACTTAAGCGCTAAAAGAGGGGTCGGTGTAGCTCGAAGCATATTTTGATGACCCTCTAAATCATATTCCCTATCACTAAATTCAGTTAAGAGTAATTTTATACTGAATTATGAAGCTGATGTTTCTGCTAGCGGACCTTTTTCATTAGGGATAATTAAATGGTGTTTGATTAGACTGCAAAAGGAAGTAATATACTATTTATTTATTCATATTGCACAATGTATATGTCGGAGAAAATGCACCCATTGGGGGTACTTCGGAAAACGCGGTAAGTTCGGTACGAGCTGGCAGAACAACCGCTCACCCTCGTGTCCAACTCAAAAGTGACGCCTGTCAAATGTCAACATGCCACGCCCCGTACCGACCATCACCCAAGCACACTGCTTGACGTTTCCGACAAATGATAACAGATGGCGTTGTTCTAAAATAACGATACTCGATAGTTGTGCATCTTTGTTGATTCTGCGACATATATATATACATAAGTATTACATACAACTAATTTAGTGCATTACCCTGTTAGGGCGCAGCAAAAATTTATAACTAGATAATACATTATAATCATACAATAGCATGTTATATTAACAACTTATTTATAATTAGATGTATGTGATGTTATCACATTTACTTTTGTACCGTATTATAGAAAAAGTCTTTCACAGTTAAACATTACAAAATTTATAGTTAGCTGAAATTTTTTACTACTTCTTAGAGCTATAACTACTTATACTTTAGTTTTACTTAACTGCAACACTTTGTGCGAGCCATAAATTGTTGTTTCGGGTCTGGGTGTCATGTATGTTTGTAAACGCACCCACGACACAAGAGATAATCCTAGTGTGGGGCAATGTTTTTAAAAAAATAAAAAATAAAAAAAATAAAGAAATTTCTTGGTTATCTCATAATGATAGTAGTCTAATAGACTTTCACACGTTTCATATAATAGTCTATTATATATTACATGCTTCATATAGCAGAATCTTAAAGCGATCTACGAAAAACGAAGCCTTAAAAACAGACTATGCAATGAGTTATCTCTCAGTTATCTTTTAAATAAATATCATAATAGTTTGAACAACAGCCACAGTTGCAACTACTCGGCCAACGAGACAACCTCGGTGGCCGAGTAGTTGCAATTGCGGCTGCGGGTTTGATTTCCAGCGCGGCCAAAGTATTAGGTACTGGGTTCTTAAAAAAATGTCAGTAGTAGCACGGAGCCTGGAATTTTGCCCGGTATATGGAAATAGGCTCACCCCTTTTACATAGGACTCATAACGTAAATAGTCCAGAATGGGTGTTACATTGTACAGTTGATATTAAGCACTGTAGTGTGCACTTCTTCAGGGATAAAAGGCGTGATGTTAGTTTATACAGGATCAAAATTTTGACATATACTCGGAAATTAATATTTTTTTTATTTCTGGCATTCTGTTTAATTGCAGTTGTATGTATAAACATCCTTGTGTGATTCTAACGAGCAATACAAATCCAAATTACGCGATATTTCAAAGGGTATTATGGTACTCAGACCCTGGTATTAAGCAGGTATTTGAATCTGTTTACAAAACCGCACCCTCCCTTTTGCACTCGAAATTTTAATCTCGTATAAATCTCTACCTGAAAAGGTTATTTTTAAATGCTTCCTCATTTTATTATTGGTTCGAAAACGTTTTCATTACAAACAGATGCGTTTCATAAATCATTATAATTTCAGTTAAAAAATAATTGGGACAAAATTATCAGATATTACGAATTTATTGCCTTGGTAGATATTTTTTAAACGTTGCCCCACACTAGGATTGTATCCTGTGCCGTGGGTGCGTTTACAAACATAAAAATTCACATACACAAGATACCCAGATCCGAAACAACAATTTGTGAATCACACAAAAAGTTGCTTCGTGCGGGAATCGAACCCGCTACACGTTGTCCGAGCCGGTTACCCCCAGCCACCGCGACAACTGTAGGTTGTCCCATCGGAGAACCTAACGGGTAACCGGGGCTCCGACTCGACGTGCAGGAGAAGGAACGGAGTGGTTTTTAGTCAGTAAGAGTCTGACACTCCCTCCCGTCTCACCCAGGCGGGAGCAGTCATTCGATGATTTTCCCCCCTTAAAAAAAAAAAAACATATTTATACATTTTAATTCTTTATGAAATTCATTTATGTGTACTTATTTACGTTCACCACAAAATTACAACTAAACGTTAACATCTGTTCGTACTAATACTACCTTTTTGGAATGTCCTAGAAAAACTCGAGATATAATAATAATGGCGGTTTTCTTATTAAAACGCCTTAGTGCTATCGGTCCACACAGTTATAAGGCCGCTAGAACTTAATATTATTTTCGTACATACTTTTGTTATTACATTAAGTACCTACGTAGTGCGCGGGCGAAAATTGCCACGTTTTTTTTCCTTACGCGTTTCTAACAATATAAAAATAAAAGCAAGTGGGTGTGATTTCGGGAAATTCGGGTGGGTTCCGCAAATAATTATATGTTAAGATTAGAAGAAAAGAAAATGCTGGCTTACCACAATTTTATTATGACACTTCATTTTATTACAATAAACTCATAACTTTTTCTCTTAAATATCAAAATTAATAAGAAAGGGAGAGTTACTAATTTTGGTCACATGAATACATACATAAATTTGTTATGAAAGATAAATGAATACGAAAAAATAAAGTATAGTCCAATTGTCCAATTGTCCTACAGGATATACATAATGGTCCAATTTCTAGTCCAATCAACCCTTGAAGTCATTTTCTTTCTTACCTAAGGATATGGCACCATCTCAAAGTCAAAAAAAATGAAATGTCACCAAATATAAAATCAATATTAGACAGTCAGACTGACTGTCAGTGAAGCTAGGTGCTCGTTCCAAAGTGTAGATTCTAATGGAAAAGAACGAATAAGAAATTCAATACGGTACTCTTAAAAAAAAAGATGGCTACAATTTGACTGCAGGTTGATACGGTGGCTGAGCAACCGGCTGCCGTGCGACGTGTCGCGGGTTTAATTCCCGCATGGAAAAACACTTCGTGTAATCCATAAATTGTTGTTTCGGGTCTGGATGTCATGTATATGTAAAAATGTATGTTTGTAAACGCACCAACGACACAGGGGAAATTTCTAGTGCTGGGCAACGTTTTTATTTGAAATAAACTGTAATGGTCATCCCTAGTAACACTGGAGAATCCTAAAACGAATCTCAATTTAACCGTAGTACGCAGGTGGCGTTCCCGACTTGGCTAATAAGAAAATAATTATGAATAAAGGTCGGACCACTTGGCAATTTCGGTCGTTTATTAAAACGGTAATGAGCTGACTTGAAGTTTATAATGCGAGTTAGAATGTAGTGTTTGGAGGGCAAGTGACCGTGTAAGGGATCATTATGGACGAGTTAGGTGATCATAGCTTGATTTACTTGTAAATATGTAGTGAATAATATTATTATGTACCATCACTTAGGGAATTTGACTCTCGACTGCACAGTTGGTGCGGTGACTGGGCAACTGGCTGCCGCGCACCGTGTCGTGGGTTCGATTTCCGCACGAAGCAACTCTATGTGTGATCCACAGATTGTTGTTCCGGGTCTGGGTGTCATGTGTATGCTTGTAAACGCACCCACGATACAAGAGAAAAATCCTACTGTAGGGCAACGTTTTTAAAAAAGAAAAATAAGAATTGTAGAAATAATTGAATATACATACAGATGTAGTTAGAGTAAAAAAAGTGAAGTAATAAGCCTACTACAATGAACTAACTGAAATGTAACTATGAAGCGAAATCTCGCTTCAATGATTCTGACTCCCCAATAGCAACAACATCGACATATGATTTAATATTATGTATTCTACTTGAGATATGTCAAGATGCCACTTGATACATACCGACATATCGAGCAAAGATGACGATGGAATGTCAACAACAGCCGTCTCACTGTTTGTACAGTTGAACACATAATTATCTAATTATTAAATAAGAGAAGTTTGTCCTCCAACAACAGGTATGTAAAATACTTGTCTTTAAGAAATGAAGTCATTATAAAATACATCTCCAATAAAAAATCTCCTAATAGCTTACAAATCTATATATAACAATAAAGTGAAATCATCCAAGCTTTTTGATGATCAGACAGAACCATGTGTCCATGTACTTCCACTTAAGATCACTGAACCAAAGAAGGACCTTCGAAAACAAATCATCAGCAGTATAAGGAAAAAACAACTGAAACTAAAGTGTCAAAGCACTGATAATATAACAAACGACACCACGTTCCCTAAAGAGCGATTGAGTCGTCCAACTGATTCTAACGCACGTCCATCCCTTCATTATACTTAGTATCGTATCCTTAACCTTCGGAGTGGTCGTAACTTTGACGAATACCATCATTTGTACAGCCCCCTTCACCGATCTGGTGAAGAAACAGAAGATTCATTCTAATTGGCCCTTGAAATGTTACAAAATGGCTGACAATGTCTTTTATTTAAAACGTCGTTTATACAATCGATCATTTATTTGAGGCAATGTGCCCCAAAAATGTTATGTAAATCGATTATAATTTTTCAGCTCTTAATTTGTTTAGTTGCAATACTAATTTCAATTTATGATAGCTTAATTGAAAACCCAGTATAAGACGAGTTGATTCTAAAAGACCGTATATTTAACCAAGTATTTATTTAAATATTTCAACGTTTTTAAAAATAAGCAAGAAAAGAGCGTATTCCTTTTTAAAAGGACGGCAACGCACCTGTGGTGACTCCTCTGGTGTTGTCTGGGTGTCCATGGGCAGCGCTGATCGCTTACCATCAGGTGATCCGTCTGCTCGTTTGCCTCCTATTCCATAAAAAAAATACGTGTGATATAAACACAAGTTGATCTTCTATTATACTTTCTCATATTATACTTCCTAGGGAGTCTTAGCGCAGTAACTTTTTATTTTTGATGTAAAACAATAAATCTCTGATATGATCCGATCGCCTCCTATTCCAGATAGTTTCGTTTACGATACTCCTACCTTCGCTTTGCTCTCCACTTTTATTTATTTCATTTTTCTTATGGCGTCTTTGAGAAATTGGGATCAAGATGAAATGGAAACTGGAATGCTCTCTTTGATACTCATTAAAACTGATATATTTTTATAATATTTTCTTGAACAAAATGTTCGGAGAAAAATATTTTCTATACATTGTGATATCGTTAGTTGCAGGTCGCGTACATTTAAGTAATTTAAAAGAAACTGGTCTTGCTGGTACTACGCTAATCATGAAATAGAAATATTTTCATCAAACATGCTATATTTTTTAAAACACTAACATTTGTAAACAAATGACACGGTTTTATGCAAATCAGTAAAATAAACATAACATACATAACATCACGCCTTTTATCCCCGAAGTGGTAGGCAGACAATGTAACAACCACTTTTCACTATTTATGTTATGAGTCCCGTGTAATAGGGGGTGAGCCTATTGCCATATACCGGGCACAATTGCAGGGTCTGTGCTACTACTAAGATTAAAAAAACCCAGTAATTCTTAGTCCGACCCGGGAATCGAACCCGAGATCCCTTGCCTGGCGGTCGCACCTGCGACCACTCGGTCAATGGGGCGGTTAAATATCTCTAAATAAAAATTCAAAATTAATGCATTTAATTAATTACCATGTAATTTGAAATTCATTCGTCAATCGAAAATACATTTCGAAATAGATTTCTTCCTCGTATAGATATCGGCTATCACAGGTTAAAGATATTCACTTATAAATATTGAAATGGAAAAATAACGGCTTTTTGTTCAAATAGTTCAAATAAATTACTGAGCAGCATAAATAAATATCCTTGACCGGATTGAAAGGAAAATAGAATTTGTATTGATGAATCGCGAACTCGCGTGCAATCATCGGGTTCGGAATAATATTATAGAACTAGAACTAGAGAAACATTAGTTTGTGTACTGTATTACGAAAATTTCACTTTTAAAACTTTGAATCAAATGGCATAGATAAATTAAAAAAGAAAAAAAAACAACATCAA